CTTTAAGGAAAGAAGGGTACAATCAGGCCGAAGTAGACCATCTGTTTCTAAATCTGGTTCTACCAAATATATTATACGGGCTGTCCGTATTTGGCGCTGTAAATTCCGAATTAACAACAATCCAATGTTTCTTAGATCGATGTTATAAGCGCAAGTATACATCCGACCACATTAATGTTTATGAATTGTTAGATCAACAGGACACACGTATCTTCAAGAATGTTTTTAATAATACAATACACCCTTTAAGAGCTATAATGCCAAAAAAGAAATCAACCAAGTACAATCTGAGGAAAGAGACAAGTCACCATCCAAAAATAAACACTGATAGGTTCAAAAACACGTTTGTCAATCGCTTAATTTTTAAACATAATCTATTCTTATAATTTTTATCTCGATTTTCTCTGTAATTTATATATATACCTTCTTTTAATGTTGTAACATAGGATATGTGATTATTTATCTTATGACTTAATAAAGATTCATTCATTCATTCATTCATTCATTACCTACTTGAATAACATGTCATGCGATAATCATGTATACACCCTTCTTTCTTAGTCAAAGGGAAGAGGACGGGTCTGCACAGCAGGCTACAAGTCTTGAGTAAAACACTACCTTAATTCTTTAACTTGGTCCTTCAGGGTCTATATTAATCCCCGGAGGGGGGTTCAGAGGTTTTTTTTGGGTGGGGGGAGGGCGATCACATGGTCTTCAATAGGAACGGAGGGGGTAACCACAGTCGTCGCTAACAGAGTATAAACACGTGACTGTAAAGGGGAGAAGGGGAGCCTCACTAGAATACTACACAGCCGTAAGGGAGGATTAGGTAAATTTTACTTTTTCCTATTATGTTTATTTCTCCATTCATTTATAAACGTACGATCTCGCACAACTACAAATATACAATTCTGAATTGTTGTTTATTTGTCTTGAGATTTTTGTGATCATTTCGCACGAAAGTTCTGCAGTTCCATTTTAGTTTGATCTGCAACGTCTCATTTCCTCTTACTACAAAGTTTAGCTAATTATAAACGAAACAGCGTAACGGTTCACATTTATACTACTGTTTTCACCTTCAATTACTAAATCTATATTTAATTATATTAATGTAATATAGAAATTTTCGATCAAATTAACACCCATATATAACATGAATACATCTGTGACAAAATAAAAACACCTCCAAGCTTAAGTATTTTAGAATCATTAACATCATTTAAAATCAACACATAATGGACAAACCATGTCATCTGTGACATTTGAATGATTTATGAATTTTAAATAATACGAAATATCGTTATCGTTATACAGCTATTCCATCGAAATATAATCAAAGTATAGTATTATTACGGACTGTGAAGCGAGTTTTTCCGATATTGGACAACTTCACCACCTCACCACCTCACCACCTTTTTTGCTTTTAAGGACACCAGCACACTTTACATCGAAGCCGAAAAAATAAGAAAAAAATTAAGGGCTATGAGTAATTTAATCTTCAAGCCCTTTTGAGTTAATTACCTCACGGACACCATGGAATGATACATCATTTCCATTAAATTACGTTAATTCTCCATTACATTCCATCGAATGAATCATTCAATGATAAATTGTCTTCAATGACCAATCACAGCAAGTCATCAGGGGAGTCACGTGCAGCCGCATCCTTTTTGGCGCGAAGATAACGCACAACATAAACCACAGTCGCTAAGCAAATCCAGCCGCCTGCCACTGCGCAGCCAACGCCAACGGCTAAGACGGAACGGTAACGACCACGCTCGGCCCTCCTGTTATGACGGCTGTGAGCCTCACGGCTGCGGTGATGTCGTGGGATTTCCGACTGGGAACAAATAAATGAGGCAAACATGTTATTCATCGCTTATAACACTGCCTTTTTTCAGGGTGGCTTTTAACTAAAGGTTTAATGAGTGAACAGATTTAGATAGCTGGTCACGATGCAGCATCGAGGCTATTGAGATGCGCTCTACAATGAAGATCTTTTTCTGTTGAAAATTTGTCTTTTTCCGTTTCCTAAGTAATGAAAAAAACTGAGTAAGAGAAGACAAAAACCTTTTAATTTCACGTGCGGGTTTAGTAAATATGATGACACCAAAACAAGTCCTCACCCTTTGAGACTCCTTCTCCTCTTCACCATCGGGCAAATCTTTTTCTTGAATGGCTCCCGATTTGCCTGAGGATGAAATAAATTCGTTATATAATCAAGTAGTGTTTAAAATGAATTGATAGCTCAGGACAGCAAACCAAAAATCAAATCAAAAGATGTAACTTACCATCCCCATAGTGTACTGCAAGAAACAAAAGAAGAACAACTGTAACCGAGCACCAAATCGACAAGTGCATTATGGGATCGAGAAGCTACATCGCTGGAAAAAGAACAACAACAGCACATCAATCACCTGGCCCCGGTTGTTCAAAGGATGGACAACGCTATACACTGGATAAATCTCTATCCGGTGGATAGCGCAGTGCGTTTTGGTAACACTTATCCGCTGGATAGCGATTTATCCGTTGGATAGCGTTATCCGCCCTTTGAACAACCGGAGCCTGGTCTACAGTTTTATTAAAGTAGGTGTACTTCAGACCCATTTGCCGACGGGTTCCCTTTTTTCCACAGTTGTTTTCACCAGTAGTTCATCTGTTCACTTACCCACTTGTCATCAATACACATATTCTCAAATCCTTTATAGAGGATTGGACTAGACACCGACTGATAAGCGCTCTAGACGATTGGCAAAACTATATAATCTCTTCCTCAACAGAACATTCCCATTAGCAGCACCGAATGGTTGTTTTCTCTTTTAGAAAATCACTGATTGCAATCAAATGTAAAGCCGATAAATAACAAAGTATATTGGATTCATTCCAATTGGAAGGATAAGCGTCTGACACCAGTTGTTTAAAGGTTGGATAACGCTATACACTGGATAAAACTCTACCCGGTGCATGATGCGGCTATACGTTCTGCTATCACTTATCCGCCGGATAGGGATTTCTCCGTGGGATAGCGTCACCACCCTTTATACAACTAGGCCTTGTCTATTACAAAGGCGAAATGGACGATTTGAAAATAATGATTAAAAAAAAAAAAAAAACACTACCGCAGTGAACACTAATATGTTCCTGGAAATAGTCAAACATGTCTTAAGGAGTTTCCTTATGGTTGGAACTGGCTGACCGGACCGGTTTAGTCAATGACATAACCCCGTTCTTTATCAAGACTAACAGAAAAAGTCAGCCAATTCCAAATTGTAGTTCCAGTTCTCATGAATTTTTACTAAAATCGGGGTAAAATATCAAAAGTGACACCAATTTGAACGATCAGTCACAGCCAATGGAAAGCGCCCTTAGTTCGTGATTCTGCGCAATGTGTTGGAAACCATCAACATTTAAAAAATGGTTTATTTTGATTAAATTCGCATAATTACCTTTCTCAGAATATCCACTAAGGGACGAGGTACATTTTTTATTCCACCCTTATATTTTCAAATATATCCCAGGCTTACATCTTTCGTACCCTTTGGTTGTGTTTCGCGTAATTAGATCAAACTAACGCTAGTAGGTAAATGTATGAATAAAATAGCGTTAGAACAACCCCTGAAAGATAAAACTCTTCAATCGTGCTATAAGCTACGGTTGTGAACCAAAGTGCTACAGTTTCTCGGGGGAAATTTGCTGAGTTTTCTCGTCTTCGGTTAGGTTATCTTCAAATTGGCTTTTTTACCATTCCATGAGATAAAATTTTTTGTATTTTCAAATCAACAACGATCTTACTTACAATTTGCTTTGATTTTCCTGTTTTTAATCTTCTTTCCGCCACAGATCTCTCTCCTTGGCTTCTCCCTTTGAAGGAAATGTTCTTACACTTCTCTCTATCACACTTGATTTCTTTCTCTTTCCTTTTTGCATTGATTTCCTGGTAAAGCCACAGTTTCTTTGTTCGAGTCACCGATATTGTTTTCTTACAACCCTTCTGTGATGTTTTGGAGTTACGTGCTCTTTCTTAAAATGTTTATCTCAAAACCTGCAATTAGAAACGGAGAAAATCTCCGCTGTTGTAAATATTTGTTAGAGTCACCCGCGCATTCAAAGGACATCTTGGAAAACAATTGCGTCGGAAATAGGCCTATATTTAGACATTGGTTATGTAAATAACACGTGTTCTCCATCGCACGTACATTTATCTGCCTATAACTTGTTTCAGATATACAATACACACTTTTCACCTAATGTACCTGTGGACGCAAAGGTTATATCTCGAACCATTCCCTAATACTGTCAAAACATTTCAACCACTTGGTACCCAGTCCCATCGGCCTTGGCCGGGTAGCTCATAACATGCAATCATTTCGTGCGAAGTCTCACTCTTCTAGTTCTGCAGCACGGATCGACAGCTGTGTTCGCACCTGTCTTCTTCAATTTGGACAGAAACGCGTTTTAGTCCCCAGTAATTCGTGCTGTTGACTTAATGCATCGTGGCTCTGGGAGCTCTGTTGTTGTTACTTACAATCGCAGGCTTATTTACAGTTATTTGAATCGGATATATTTCGATTAAGCAACATAGGGTAATTTGTGAATTTCGTTCGATAGCAGCCTCAAAACTATCAGTCTCTCCAACCATTCAATAAAGGTTAATCTTAATAGTCTTCTCAGCTCTTACCCTCAAACCCCACACACAAACTTTACAAAACCGTTCGATTCTTGTGTCAAATTTGCCTCCTGGTCTCAAATTCTGGAGACACAATGTAGCTAAAGTTTGGAAGTTTTCACGCACGCTGTTTTCCATCCCATCGACGCCGAAAGACTTGCATACACAATAAAGTTTGACAGCAAATGACCATTAAAATGTTGTTAATCTTTATTTGACACAATTACGAAAGCAGAGAGATCTATATTACACAAGGAGCTCGGGACCTTGATCTTCAACGGAGTAGACTTGAGTCTTGACTTTGTCACACCACTCCGATAACCGATCTCTCATGTGGGCAATCTGTAACAAAATAAAACAACAACCCTAAATAATATGTCATATTAATTAAGGTACATATCCTTGGGATTAATTTGTTACGCGATAAGAAGCTTCCAGCCTGTTATCTATTTTACAGGAAAGAAATTGTTACAGCTTCACCTTTTTCGGGTTGCGTGTGTACTCTCCTGAACGATCAAACTACACGATCGCCGTTGCTACCGCATTCAAGCGACTTACTATGGAAAACACTCTACTTGTTTCCAACTGAGCAATTACTTTTCATTCGTGGCATGTTATCTATTTCGCATGAGCTGATGAAAGTTACCAACCTAAGGAGGTTCCTTTCAGCATTGGAAAAACACTAGCACTAAATATTAGTAAAATTATTTCATTCACCTGAACTAGGTCCAGAACCCTTGGTTGCACCCAAGTCATGTGAACCATCTGTTCAACCTCATCAATGGAGCCTGGTAACGAATGACAAATCGTTTGTCAAAGAGGAAAAAGTGGGACTACATGTAGCTTATTATTAAATACGAAAAATGGGTAATCGACCTTGTTCGAGTTGTCTCTCATGGTTGATAACAAATATAATTTCCCCTAACGGATGACTAAATCCTACGGAGGTTTGATGCTTACCCTAAGTGGAAATTAAAGGTACATTCAGACATCAACGTGAGAAACTTTAGAACAAAATAATTCCTCAAACACAGGGGTGGCAATCCATGTGTACTCCCAATGAAAGACAACACAGCCCACTGATGAAATTCTGTGAACATGTCAAACTTCCCCCAAAATGCGAGGTGGACAGGGACATAAACCCGAAAGACTGACAAAAGATGTTTTGGCATTTCCTTCGTTTATATCATTGAAGCTTTCATTATAAGCTAAATTTCTTTACATCTAAAGAACTCTCTTACACGGACTACAAGTACAAGAATTGTCAATGACTTTAAGTACAGATATATTATATACCACTCACCTTTAACTAAGCCAAGAGATAATGCTTTCATAACAAGAAGTTCAACCTGATATAGAGAGAGTGAAAAGGATTTAAGTCTGATCCCTTAAATGTCGACGATTAATGTAAATATTCGTCCCTGATGCATTCAATCTCCTCTCTCTCAGAGATGACCAAGGGCTGACTTGGGGTAACAGGACAAAGAGGAGAGAATCCATGGAACCAGGCACAAACTCAATTCCAAGTTTACCCTGGTCTAAAAGGAAGGAAGGAAACTGCATACAACTACAGTGTACAGATACACTTGGAAATCAGTCAAATAGTCCCTTGCTGGGAGTCAGAAACTTTGGAACACTTTCAAATAGAACCAAAATGATGGGGGATACTTACACAGTCACTTAGCCTTTCAGTTAACAGCCTAACTGTCCATTTACTCACCTCTTCAAGAGGCAGCTGTGCTTCTTTTGCTATCATTTCAAATGAGAGGTTTCTGTCATTGGAAGGCCTTTTGAACGTAAGCTGTGATAATGAAAGATGACTGTCACGACAAAACACAGTATTGCTGCATGTACTTCTATGCTATTTAGGCCAAATGGCAGAAGATATCAAAATTCATCGGTAACTGAAAAAGATTGTTTCATGAAGTGAAAACAGAACTGACCTCCATCAAACAAAGCAAGCTGATCTTCTGTCGTAGGGCTTTGTAGCTGGCATTCAAATCTGCCTGTTTAGGAAAAGGAAGAAAAAAATTGACTGTGCATTATTGATATACATTTAAAGGCATGCTACAAAGTTGATAAAGCATTCTTGAATAAAAAATCTTAAAAAGAAACAAATCTGTTGAAGGCAAGGACATACATTGTAACTTTTTCATATAAGTTCTCTGTACTAGGGAGACAAAGTGTATTGCAAGAGGCAGGACTGGTGTAAATGTATCTTGAATATCAGTAGGAATAAAACACAGGTTCAATCAGATCAAACTATGATACAATTGCACAGAACTTTTTTCTACAATTTGGCTTTACCTGTTGTTGCCAGTGACGCTTCACGAGTTCAAACTGTGCTATGTCTCCTACAAAAAGATAGATGGTCAGGTTGAGATAAGTGATAAGTTCAATATCATTTTTATTTGAATTGTGCTGAAAAAAAGGTCTAAAAATGTCATACATGTACTGTACATGTATAGTACAACACAGTTCGTATTCAGTCCCACATGGTAACTTCACAGTTTATTGTTATACCTAACATTGAAGTACGCCAGTACTTTACAATGTAATTAAAGTAAAAAACTACATATACATGATTGTATACTTGTGTTAAATTCTTTTTTAACATAAAGTACCATACAGCTTTTACTCACCACTATTAAAAGCAAAGAGAAGCTCTATCAGCCAGCCATGCTCTGTTCCATGGAGAGACTGTAATACTGGATGTGCCAGCTGAAAAGCATATATTTATTATTCATATTATAATGTTCAGCCAACATTCCAGGCTAAAACCCCTGTATCATTTTGGTGTTCATGATAAGTAAAAACAAAATTTTCAGTGACCAATAATGCAAAAAATGTCACATTTTTTGTAATTAAGTTCCAAGTTACAGAGGTCCTACATGTGTACCTGTATTAATTAGTGTTTACTGTCTCAACCAAGTTAAGTGAAATAATTAATTTTAAAACATTTGCATGAAAAATTGTTTGCTCTCCATTTCCCCGTAAATATAATTAGTCTTCTTTTACCAAATCCAAACACAATAGTTGGGTAATTATTTTAAAACAAAATGTGTTGTCAGCTACCCAATCCGTTAAGCAGCAGTGTCTTTTCCTCTTACATGTGTGGTCAAACCTGTATTAAGTGGTCACCTGTGAGGAATAGTGGGGTGACCACTAAATCCAGGTTTAAAAGCAAACAACTTGCCCGCTGTTTGTGCATAATATTTGTCCTAACAGTTCAAAAAAGAAACTTAAGTTAATCTGCAATGCATTGAGGCCATTTGAACCCAAAGTACTGACACACTGATTCTGGGAGATATTAAACAAGGAATAAATTTGACTTGAGAGGTTATTGATAGTTTTATTTTAGTGTTTATGCTTTATGACCACGGCCCAGTTAGCCCAATGGATACTGCGTTGGACTGTTATGCGGGAGGTTGAGGGTTTGAGCCCCGGCCGGACCAACACTGAAGGTCTTAAAATAATTGAGAAGAATTTGCTACCTTACTATGACCTCAAGAAATGGTTAGATATTCTAGTCTTCTCGGATAGGGACGAATAAATGGAGGTCCCGTCTCCTGCAGGGTTGGGGTAGGAGATGTTAATTTCCCACACACGAGATTACTGTGTGATGGATGTCCTCCCCTGGGGTGGGATGGTGGGTTTGTATTGTTGTGAAGGCAGTAAGTTAGATAACTTATTGGGTTAATTACGTCACCTTCGTTAAATAAAGAATATTGTATTGTATTGTATTGTAAGTGACCATTCAATACAAGTGGAAAACGAAACAAACAGGATGTTGGGACTTAATCAAGAGTGACCGCAACTGCTTAAATAGAGGTGACCACTTAACAGAGGTGAAAATTACATTGACTAGGGACTCTGACAACCCACAGTTTAATAAAGGGTGACTACTTCATATGGTGTTGCTAAAGGGTCAACTGTATTTTGTCATCAACAACCATTTTCTTACTTAACTGGTAAGTTGATGAAGAAGGAGCAATTAAGAAAAACATTTGACAATAAAAAATTGCGATAAAATATTCCTAAAACTATAAAAAAAAGCTAAGTTTCCCACTGAAAAAAAAATACATATTCTGAGTAATGGGGACAACTCACAACATTGTGCACTTATTTCATATTGTGGATTTAACTTACCAACTCTCCAAAGTTGTAAATATCATTTCCCAGTAGGGCAGCAAGGGACAAGTGTAAAGCTCTATCAATTTGGTCTCCGACTGGTAACAGAAAAAGAGACAATATTTAATATGTAAACTTGGTAGCATTAGTCTAATCACTTACATTTATTAACCTTCTCAAACCTAAGAGCTCAATTCCAGTCATCCTCCTCAGTGTCTGCCAGATGCTTCTTCTATGTTAATTTTGAGAATTTGATGTTGTATCAAATGATATCCAGATGCTTAGTATTGCATACACATATGTTGCATGCTCTGTGTGGTTGAAAAGAAGCACACACTCATTCCACCTTAGTGCATGACAAAGACTAGCAGTACACATAATTATAGCAGTTAAACCATTACAATCAACAAATAATAGTGACTATCTTGTGAGACAAATAGTTTACATTCCTATAAACAGGAACACGTCTCTTGTGCAGAACCATTATACTGTTCAATGTATCAGATTCTACATAAGATGTACTCTGCATACATCTGCTGTAACTACAGTGTTAGAGAAACTTGAAACTTACTTTTCATGGCACTAACTTCCACACATCCCAAGAAACGCAGTGCATCTCTGTAGTAGTCATTATATGAACCAGTGATCTATGGTAATAGTTCATAAATCATAAGTACACAAAGTAAAAAAAGAATTGTTCACTGTTTAAACTAATGTCAAACTTTTTGTTTAAGTTCAAACCTAAAAAGAAATGTGAAAAGACCTGAAAGATGTTCATGGAGGATGACATGAGAGAGATGATTGAGGGATGGTTGTATGAAAATGTACACTGGTGATGTTTTTGCTTCTAAGCACTGTTACCTAAAGCACAGTAAAAGAGTTCTGATTTAACTTTCATACTCCTGAATTTTCAAGTAATAATACCATAAAAAAAAACTGGAGAATGATATACAGAATAAGTACAAGTACAGCAAAAAATTCCCATAAAGTTACTTCTTTAACTGTGGTAAGCCACAAGTGCCATTATCGTGGCACCTGTGTAGCTAACAGAGGAAGGAAACAACACTTAATAGCAATTGATTTTAACTTCTCTCACTCACTTTGTGATAGTTGCTGCAGAGTTCATAAAACCTGCCGTGAACTGTAGTAACCCCATCAATAGTTTCCAGCATCCCTCTAGCTTGTTCAATTAAGGCCTTGAAAAATAAATATATCTTATTAACCAAGTGAGAGGGCCGTACTGGGAGAATATCCGCCCGAGGTCTTGATAGTACAGACTGAGCGCAGCGAGGTCCGTACAAAAAAGACAGAGGGCTAATATTCTTCCAGTACGGTTCTGAGCAAGCTTGGTTAATAAGAGATTTATTATACGACTGAAGTTCAAAGGGACACAAGTGCAGTATCATTCGGGACCATTGGGAAAGTGCCCGGTCCAATACTTAGAGAATAAATTATTGGACCGGCAATAGAGCATTTTGATTGGTTGATTTTAGTTATTAGCCCTCTGACTGCCCGAGTCATGTAATAAATACATATTAACAGCTGTGTCATATATCTTAGGGACAAGGTTATGGTACTTTCTTAAAGTGACATGTACACTCTTACTATCAATAAAAAAAGTTCTACTAGGGTACCTTTGTTTCTTCCATTTTTTTCTGTTGAAGTTTAATATTTCCAATCGCTGTCATACAAAGAACCTCTGCCTCTACATCATTTTTAATCTGAAAATTGAAAAAAAATTATACTTTCCTCTGACAGTCATGTATGCACTTTTACAAAAGTGACTAACAGTTGCTTTCATGCATTTGTATATCACCATGTCCTTGGAAGACAACAAAGCACAAATACAATATCATTTTTGTATTGTAGTGCAAGATACATTGTTTTGTTTTCTTTTGTATTTTTTAGGTTAAATAAATTTTTGTATGTAAATCTTTTCTGTTCGATTGCATAAATAAACTACAACCAAAAAAAAAAAATTAAAAACAGGACAGTAGCATTAAAGACATCCATTTTTTACAAATCAGTTGAAATTCAACAAGATTGTGTTCTTATATCAAGTGCTTTGGCATATTAAACTAAAGTAGCAAAGGAGTACAATGAAAATGTACACCCACACAAACCTTTTCTTTCTCTCTCTCTAGAAACTCAATAGCAGTTTCTGGTTCTGACAAAAATAAAAAGATAAAATGTACATGAAAATAGAATTTTATGTGTATTTGTCATAGCCTCTTTACTATTAAACCTACAGATATGTCTGAAGATCACAGTGGTACAACTACTTTTACAACCTACCTTTTATTTCCTTTATCACAAATAACACAATTTCCATGAGTGAAAGCATGTTTATTCTGTAATACAAAATATGGAAGTTGTAATGTTCAGACTTTTTACATTATAGTCAAGCTTCCACTTCTAAGAACTGTACTGCAGGAAACAGCAATTTTTAACTCTGGTCTATGCAGTAGCAAAAGTGACTACACTGTACAAGAATTATTACTACATCATCTGCTTTTCATTTCCAATCTGAAGTTTGAGTTATTTTGGGTCTGCTGTAAAAGCATTGTAGTCAAAATTATTTCCACATTACAGAGGTTCTCTCCAGTAGAAGCCTTTTTTATCATATTACATCATCTACTCTTTATTTCCAGTCTGAAGATGGAGTTATTTTGTAACTGCTGTGAAAGCATCATTGTCAAAATTATTTCCATATCACAGAGGTGCTCTCTAGTAGAAGCCTTTGAAATGTGCATGTATATTGTTAAACAGTGGCTGTTCTTTGTTGCAGGGTATATTATGTACACTTTATGTCATACCTATGTTCAAAGTCTGCCAGGAAATTTTCATACATCTAGAAAAGAGAGCTCAAGGTAAATACACAATGACTAACATGAGGTATTAGCCCTTTAACTCCCAGAATTGATTGACATATAACTTCTCCCTGTAAAATCCATAAATTATCCAGCAAACAGGTAATAACTTGGATAGAAAAGTTTTTTGATCCAACACCAAATTCTGGTGTAGCAGCTAGAGGAAAGACAATCAGATCTTGGGAGTTAAGAGGTTAAGAGGTTAAGAGGGGTTTCATTAAGGGCCAGGCACTGAGCAAATTGACTGGCTGCAAGGAAGGATTTGCCCACCTGGTTTGACCATCTAGAGGAAGGTTTTTCGGATAAAGATGTTCAGTTCAAAGAGTTATGCCCACCTTTTAAAACCAGTTTCCTGCTGAAAACATTAATGAAACCCCTGGGTTAACAGGTAAAAATTTCTCAACATTACAATGAACTGACACAATTTTCATCAGTTACTTTTTTTTCTTAACTTTAGCAGACTATGGTACTTGCTTCTTGACAACTACACACATAATAAAAGACTAAATCCAAACAAATCCGTCTACATGCATATTTTGTCCTTCTTAGGAAAATGGGTCTAAAAAATATATTACACTGAAAATGTATATCACAAATTTTCAGTATTTTAAATGTGCCTAAAGGTGAAGACAGTCCAAACTGAACAATTACCTCTACAAGTCCTCCATATTTGTTAAAGTAGTCACTCTTGACAAACTCAGTAAGTCTCAAAGTCAATTGATGCCATAGCCTAAAAAATAGCAAAATAAATCACTTATCGTCCTATAATTCTTCATTAGCAGTTTAAAATAAATGTTCTGCAAAGACTATAAATTCCTACGGTATCAACAAAATAAAATCGAGCTTATCAATTAATAAAACACAATACTTATCGCTTTGAGCTGCACTCATAGAGGTAGGATTATCAATAATAAAGAAGTAATTTTTGTTCAAAAGCATTGAGTTTGATGCGTTATCGTATCTTTAAAAATAATCAGATTACAGAAAATTGAATAACATGCGCACAGGACTACGACATTTCCGTCATTTGGAAGGAGACGAATGTGCATCTCTAAATCGAAGTAATCCAAAAGCCAGCTTAAGTGCCCATGAATCGCTAAAACTTCATATAGAAGTGGTAGAAATTCTTCGATACCATAACCAAGGACAATTGCAACACCGAGCTTGAGTCTGAGAGACTAGAACTCCATTAATGACTAAGCACTTCATCTTAAACAACTCAGAAGCGAGCAAACTTACTTTTTCTCGTACAGTTCACCGAGATGGGCCCAATCTGGTGCCATAGCTCCCCCTTCACTTTGTTTCCTGCTTAAGTATCCTTTGACGTCCCTCATCTTAGACGAAATATTGAGTAAAACTCAACACTAATCCTGTAAAATTTTTTCAAAATGGCGTACTCATGGAACAATTTGAGCCATCGGTTGACTAACCAGCGGTAGATTTAGGTGAGAAGAAAATGACTTCTGATCATGAGAAAGCTTGGGCAGCCAGCGTCAGTTTTACGCGCCAAAATCTCGCTGTAGCATCAAAAAAAGTTATCGCCCGATTTGCGTAAAATTTTAAATGTTTGATTAATTCAAAGCGAAGCATTTTAACAGGAGGTAAGAATTTGAAAGATGTCGTTGATATCCTTGCTTTGATTCACAATACTAGTACATGTAATCACAAATGAAAGCCTGTCGCTCTATTATCTTACTTTAGGTATTACAGAGTTTTGAAATTTGTGTCGATTTTTTTTGTGTCTCATAAAGAGGTAGAAAATGTTACCTTTCTTTCCTTTTGATACAAGCATAATATCGTCTAACAGGCACTCATGAATAAAACAACGGAAAAGCAAGGAAATCGGACGGCATTCATACGACAATCAGGTAAAAAAAGAAAACTTTATTAAAGATTGTCGTGGGGGAGGGGTGGTCTAACCGATTTGGTCGGTGTAAAAAGCGAGTGCAAAATCGCTGATAGAAAGAGCATGCGTAAGTCATCATGGCCGGTTTACAAGTTCATTTATCACAGGAAGAGAAGTTAGAGGACGGGGAAAAGTTTATCAATCATTTAAACCAAAAATAAGAAACTTGAGAAAACTGAATTGGTTCTCTTATTGAGCAACTCTTTACCCACTGTAGTCATTTTTGATCTACAGAGCATACAAACAGTACCTTTAAAGTTTCTTTGACTCATATCTTTTTCCAGCTCGAGTGTTACTAGTCGACTATAGTACACCATTTGACGCTGATACATGTGAATACCTTCAGGAGACTTTGGTGAATTTCTTTTCACTTGTGACGCACCTTAGCGGGCCTTGCAGAACGCCATTCTTTGGTCTGATTGCTCTCACAAGCCCTCCAGAGGTATGGAATAATTGAATTTGTAATTGTATGAAAATATATGAAAGAACCCGCATGCGCAGAGCGAAAAGAAAGAGGATATGAACAAACAACAACATTAGATTAAAGGTCTGTTGGTTAATTGGTGCTGGAGCTCATTCTGGTTTCCGAAGTGAAGCAGAAAATGAATAGGGGATGTTGTTACTACTTCCAGAAGAGACGATAGTCCATCACTTTTCGCTGGTCTTTTGCATATCTTCAAGTTTCTCCGGTGGAGTAGACCCTGTGGCAGGAAGACCTAATCTCCTTGCTGCTTTGAACTGGGAACTCTACCAGGATCGGAAGGCCATTTAGAAAAATTGGAGGTTCAATGTAGGCTCAAGGCACTATCGGCTAGTGGTGCTGCCTCAAGAACCATCCGAGGAAAACAACGATGAAGAGAAACTCATATTTTCAACGCGGCGAGTTTTTCTACGTAGTTTGATTGAACTCGTAAGAAACTGTAAAGCGTTATTGTGTGGTACAATTTCAGAACCTGTTTTACTTGCAACACGTCCGAGGAAACTTTCCCAAGCTTTACACTGCCTTTAAAGAACTCAACAACATTGCAAAGGATGTTTCACCAAGGGTCTCTTCTTCAGGTAAATAAGCTTTTTTCTTATTTTTGTTTCCCCCTCAGGACAAACCCAATTTCAACACGACATCCTTATAAAACGGGCAGAAATATCCTTATCATAATTGGTATGTGAACTTTTTACATGTTTGTCTTTTCATTTTAGACGTCATTGTACAAGGGCTCAAGGAAGCTATTGCGCAGTTCAAACGCCAGTCGCAAAGTCTGAGACAGGTAGGAGACAACTGTTGTCAATATTTTCGAGGCTATTGAATATTAGACAAATTCACTCTCATTTGCACAGACCTGTAATTTTCAGAACATCGTCTGTGGCTAATAACTAGAGTGAAAAGCTGACTGTTCAAACCTTCTTAGATAAAAAAATCGAAAACAAAATAAGATATGCACGAAGATTATGGGGCCGAACAAAAATCTTAAACTAAGGAGGAGATGCGGGGATCTTTGAGAAACCTTGGACTTGAGAATTCGGGAAATGTTATACACGTAAATGTGGCACTGTTTCCTTGTCCCACTGTCACTCGAAGGTAAGACTTTTACCAGTTGATTGTGACTCGAGCTTTTTATCGAACCCACAAGAAAATCATTGCCATCAATTAAAAGTATTGGCCGGGAGAGGACATACAGTTATAAAGTAGTTATATGCTAATCATATTTACTTGAGAGTAGGCTTAAAAAGGTTAGAATTATAGATCCGTTATAAGATCCTTGTTGCTCAGTGTGGCTTTTAATCTGACTATCTCGAATTGCGTTTATCTGAAAATGGCCAACTCCAATGACCTTTATCGCCTTGATCTTGTCAACCACCTATTTCTTTTTTCAGTATCTTTATTGGTAACAGCCCAGTATATTTTCTTCCTTCGTAGATGAGTACTTCTAACTGCCAGCTAGAGATTACCCTCTTCACCTGCAGAGCGGCCACGTCTGTTGTGAGACACATCGAGGCGTTCCTTAAAGATATTGAGCTTGAAAGCATAAAGGTTTGGTGGCAACGAAAATGAAATACGCACATTTCTCCACCCTTGGCGCTTTAGTGCGCATTCTATGACTGTAATAAGCCATTTTTACCTTTTCATCATTGTCATCACAGTCACATCCCACAGATGTGCAATATCTACATCTCTTTAAATATCTTTTTGACGAATGAACCCATGGGCCATCTTGTGAGCTATGCCATGCTAATGAAGTATTGTAAGGGGAATGCTAGTTTGACTACTTTTGTATTAACCATTTTTGGTTGACAAGACCTTGAGTCACTCTTTATCGCGTTGGTGCACATTTTGTGACCGTAAAACCCTATCTTTATGAGAAAATCATTTTACTAACTTAAGGAGCAAAGGAGTGCTTTGAATAAACTTTCACCTTATTTCACTAGTGCAGTGAAATAAATATTTAGAAAAACAACTACGAAAACAACAACGACAACAAGATAAAGACTCCATCTTATGGAACATCGCCAAACCATATCATAATCGTCGTTTTCCTTTTTTAAGAAAATACAAGTTGTCACTGTACAAAGTTCAGAAGAACTGAACAAAAAAGAAGGTACTCCATCCGGTAAGAGACTAGTTGTTATAAATCAAAATGATATCACTGAAGGAATCGGTGTGTAACTACATGTCTGGAACTAGCTAACATTAATCAGTCTCTGCTGAACCCGATAAGTTATAAAACTCTAAAATCTTCTCCTATGAGACAAGGAAACTCTAGGCTCAAAAAAACATTTTGAAATATCGTTATAAAGAAAAACAACAACAGCTCATCTCTAACAGTTATTTTCCAGTTAAGTCATGTTTTAATGCCGCTGTCTATTTTTAAAGAAAGTGGCAGTTCACCGAGTGGTGACACAAGCGAATTATTGGATGGTAGTCTTGTAGATGTCGTTTCCCTTGGGAAAGGTAAAAAGTGACAATTTATGTTTTAATACAATATAATGAATAGCAGTGCAGACAGACCGCAAGTTGTAAAACGTAAATGAGAACACACGAATATGACTGTTCAGAGATATTTTAAATTAATATATGCTTGCTCAAAATACATCAATTTAAATGTTCTCCATTTTGGTGTGCGCAATAATCTCTCATAGTTTTCAATTCACTTCTATCAACTAAATAACGTAGACTGATAATTAACTCGCATATCTTACACTTTTAAGATGTCCTCAGTTTTGAAAACTTTTTCAAGATTTGGCTTCTGGACCGCAGCACAGACCAAGAACATTTGCGGATAATTCTGCCTGGTGCATTTACTCAGGACAGTGAAGGTCAGCTGAAAAGATATATGATATATCTATTGGCAGTTTGTACTTTTTTTTTCAAATAACGCTACGAATTTGCACTGAAATATTCTGCTTGTTTTTACGGATCCTTAAAGGCGATCAGAGTCAAGATAATGTCACCGAGACAAGTCTTTCTCTGAAGTGCGATCTCCACGAATGCCTATTAGACCCTTTTCACCTGCCTTACCAATCGCACCTGGTAAGTGCTTCTCTGTCTTGAAATCATACATGTACCTATACTTCTTTTACCAAGTTAACATTTTCGATGCTACACGTTCTGAAACCTGTGAGGGAGAGTCATCATACACAATTGAGGCAAGTTCATTAGTCTGGGATGGCCTGTTTCAATATCCCAGTGGTGCCGAAGACGAGTCCCGATCAACTTATGTCAACCTTATATTACGTATTACAGTCCACCCCCTTGGAATAGAAATGAGGTACAAATAAGGATCAGAAATACACGTATGTAATGGTTTCCTGAATTGAATCGACAGACTGTATGCGCAGAATCGGCCAACATCAACAGCAAAGGTGTGGCCATAACAAAACCGCATGTACTAAACTATCCAGTTTACAATTTAACTGCAATGAAACTCGTTAAGACAGAGGCTGTCTGCGAGTCAGTGGTAAGTGTAGTTGGTATCTAATTATTAATAACTAAAACTATTGTCTTTTTGATAAAATTTTATGTGCTTTTCTACTAAACTTTCTTGTTTTTTCTTTATTTTCGGATACCTTACACTGATCTTAACAGCTCTTCGGAATGGTAAGCCTAGTTGTCTTTGTACTATTCTACTTTTTAAAATAACATTAATCTGAAAACATTGCTTGCTGTTCACGCCAGTCTCGGTCAGTTGACCTTGATTTCTGCTTTTGTCTTTGACGGTATCGATGTTACCAAGTCACTTTTAAGTATCGTACTTCAATCTACTCGTCAAACATAAATTTGTTAAATATAACCAGTCAACGAAGGGCTCTTAGTCATTGGTCGCGAAAGAGCTCCAGATTATAAGTCAGCGAAAAACATAGAGTTAATTGTCGATCCAAACAACCAAGGGTAAAATCAGAGCAGGTGTGCAGGCCGGAGTTGCATGAAGAAGGGTAAGACTCATTTAAATGTGTTGTAAAGACCTGGTTCAAATTTTCATCACAAATTTTAACTATCATGTATTGCATACTCTGAATATTTACAGCCATACATTGTTCGACCAACGCTTTGCTGGAAATTAGACTGGGAAGACCTGGAGAGCAATCAGCAGCACTTTTATGCCCTGTGCTCAGTGCTGAAAGAACGGGTTAGTGAATTTTACACCTTGCATATGCAATCATACATACCAGTAAGGTAAAGGTTTAATATGTTTTCACTGATTTAAACATTTTTCACTTGTCTAATTTAGGGCCTGTCCCTTTTAGCCAAGACAAATGGCCCTCGTGTGGCTTTGCGAGGCTATCCGCAGCAGGCTGTAACATCCTCTCCTCACGGACATTTCATTTTCCTCCCTTCTGACAACTCACTTCTGTTAAAGTCCATCGCAATCAAGGAGTTAATGCTACCTAGTGTTGTTCAATCGTCAACGGAAGGACCGAGTGACGATGCGCTATCAGTTGTAGCCTCGTGTCTAGACCAGGTAATTTATGTACTTGAGCTTGCGGTGGTAAAAGCTGCAACCCTTTCGAAACCCATCATTCCCCAGTGTCCATCCATGGTCAGACTACAGAGTATGATAAATTTTTGATCTTTTAAGCTAATAGAGAACTCTTTAATTGCTACTGGACCGGATCTTCAAAACGCGTGACCATTCTTCGTTTTGCCCAATCGAGGAAAGACAAGTCTAACTCTTCACATTTCCCCTTAGATTGACGTCTGTGATTCATACAATCCTCTCCTTGTTCAATCCAATCTTTACAAGTGTCTCATAGCTCAATCCATCAAGAGTAATCCTGCTTCAAAATCGGTGAAAAGGAGAGTTCAGGCTCCCCAGGTTGGTAGACTTCAGATGGCATCAGACGCTGTATGAGTCAATTAAGGTGTTAATTCTTAAATAATAACTGGGTTTATTGAAATTTTCCGAAATTTTAGGCTTCCAAGCAAGAAGGAAGGGGTATTCAATTGATTACAAATCAACAACCAAAAAGGACAACATCTCGGGCTCAAATGCAACAAGTGGTTTTCACACCACCTAGAGAGACTTTATCTAATACTGCACAAAACGAGTTCAGATCTGCCGCCGCCGTCTTTTCCGCTTCCAAACGCTTCAGATCAAATTCTGCGGCGAATCTGTACAACAGCAAACCACCAGTATTTCCTGACAACTTGTAGTTGAATGTATCCTTAGAGGTCTCTTTCATTTATGATTCTCCTCATCGTAACGTGCTTCGCAACATCAGATCTTACATTTATTTCAGCTCTAATCTGTTGTAGTCGAATAAATGATTTTGTTCAATCGTAATCCAGAAGTCGCAGTGTTCAGATTTATTTTCAACTTTCAAAAAAACATTCATCCTTGGAAATTAAAACAAATCACTGCATGGAAATCCTACGAGTTGCCTTGTTATGGTACTACCTATAGTCACTATTTCTAACAAACTCAATATCGCGAGTACACTCAATTTCATCAGGGCCCCAGCATAGGTATACTTCTGTAAATTGTTCTACTGCTGTATCAGCATTACTTATTTCATGACCAATTGGTAATAACAGTTTCCTCTATATGATCGTTATATTTGTTTTTCTTAACCTCAAACATTTTCATCTACTCGCCCTTTCTGACAGCCTGTGATCTTAACTTGGTCACTTTTAGGGAATGATGTCGTCGATGGCAGCAGGCCTTTGTGTGTCATCACTCTGTTTTCCCTTTTTTTTTATTCGAAATTCAACTTATTGCCGTTAACATAGAATTTCTTCTTGTCTATAATATAACTCTATTCCAGTAATCTAATTGGCTCAAACGTGAAACATTTTAAGCCAGTACCATTTTATATGTAACGTCATCTGAGTGCTGTGAACACTGGTATCAACCCCTTTAACAAGATTTCTCACAATCTTATTCGTTTGTGACAACTGAATTCAACCAAAAAAAATAAAAAAATAAAAAACAGTCAAAAACCAAACAGTAGCAAGAGGATCCAATCGTTTTGGCAGTACTAGTGACAGACACTAGCAGAATGAAGCTCCGTCATAAAAGGTCAAGAGAATACAGAAGTTGGTTTTCTTTGTAATGAAGAAGGAACTTCTCTGGCTGCGCAGGTTATTTTGATTAACGCAAATGACCTCTGTTCCATGAATACGATAAAACTGAAGAAACTGGTTGCTTTCTTCCTATTGTTGAGACTGAAGGAGGTTGCTGATAAATACCATCAGAAACCGTGCGAACTAACGTTGCCACCTGAAAAAAGGAATCTGGTACCCGTTGATGTCTAGTCGTTAAATGAACTGGCTTTGGCGATGGAACATTTGCTTTTGAGTGGATAGGCGGGGAAAGAAATCTCTAAAGCATAACATTTTCACAGAAGAACACCAAAGAACAATTAAATACTGACTAGTTTGGCTAATTTACGAGCACCACCTGCTAGTTTTTATGGTGAAGTTGTTTTTCGACCCTCTATGCTGGAAGGAAACCTATATGTTGATTAATTCTCTTTAAAAACGTTGCTGAATTTTTTCGAGTGAAACACGTGAGGTTCCAAAGCTCCAGAGTAAATGAAGCTCCAAATCGTGTCATATCACAGGTTGTCATTAGCTATTAGGGGAGACAGTTCAAGATTAAATGCAAAATCATCTGTCTCATTGACACATTTCTTTCTTATCTCTTGACATATTTTTTAAGCTCGTGACAAATTCTTACCTTTTTCACGTTTTACTACAGGGCATCTATGATTAGTGAGTGTTATGGGCTTTGTAAATTTTTCACGAGGAAACTGTTTAAAACTTCTTTCAAATGCATCAAATCTTTCTTTTGTTTTCACGTAATTTAAACAGAACCTCAAACCTGTAGAAAGGGCGTTTGTCGTTAATAGTGGGATGTTTGGTAGCATGAGTCGCTTAAGGCTCCTCACCTTAAGCAATTGAAATTAGTAATTTCAATTATTTTGCTTCCAGTTTGCGTTCACTCCGGTAGACCGGTGTGGGGCTGTTATTTTGTGTTTGTCCATCGAAGGTTCTTTCACGAAAAGAACGAAAGAATAACATGAATTTTATGTCGCTAGTATGTAGGCTCGTGGGCACTAGGGGGTTGGGTTTTCTTTTCCTTTGAAAAGTTTTTTTCTAATTCCAATTATATCAGAAACTATCTAGCTTCGACTTTCATGTGCTTGTGAGTAATCTTATAAATTGTACCGCGTGAATCAAAGTTCTCCATAGCGATGTACATTTTCAAACAAGTAGCAAACAAGGAAAGATTCAAATAACCAGCCAAACCTGCCTGTTTGTACGCTACGATAGAAGTTTACTTGTAAATTCGTCTTAGCGGTATCCAGCGGCTTACAAGCCAGGTGAGTATACGAATCTAATCTGTCTTTAGATAGGCTTTCTCCCTGAACAAAATATCATGTTCCCTTCTTCTAAGACAAATCAAAGCTACAAGATCTGACGTACTTTTAACCAAACATTTTCTCCGGATAACGCCCTTAGTTGTTTTTCTTGAAGTGGACAAAGCACGCTTGAGTTAAATTCTCGCGAAGTACGCGCCAAAGCGGTTACATCAACATTAGTTTGTCTTGTTCCCTTTTGCTTATTTGTGTGTGTGTGTGTTTGTCAGTAAATTTTTGGTTGTCACTAAATTTCACTGAAAACTTTAGCAGTGCAAGATAACCCTCGGACTTAATTTACTTAACAGATTAGATTGCGAAAATAAGAACCTTCAAATTAACTTGTTGAAATTTTTTGTTTGCCGCTGTTTAAAGACCTGCTTGACTTTGTCAATGCAGCACCAAGGATGTATTAGACCATGCAATACCCACAGAATTCACATTCGTTTATAATTAACAATATCGGTATCGACCGCTTCCATTTGAACTAGCCTTTCTCTAGTTCCAATAATGCCGTGTGTTTTGTCTATTTGATAGGACTGTTCAGTGAATCTATATCAAGACTGAAAGGCTCTGAGGAATCAACATCAACGAATTGACGATAGCCAAATCCCTTTAAAAGGTAAGAAAGTGAAATTCGAAAATTAACCTCCTATTGAAGGTGCTAAGTGTCTGCCTGGTTGTAAATATTCAGCAATGTCATTCCTATTGCTGTTGGGTCACTTTTGAATGTTATGCTCTGTATTTTCAAGAGATTTATTCTTCTTATTTATGTTTCCTTGTGTCTTATGTTTTCTCGTGTCGTTCAACATAGTAAGCTTAGGGTTACAAAATTAAAATCTAACTTCGTTGAATTATTCTCTGTTAACTCGGCCATGGAGATATATGTTTACGGTAACTGTGGTTATGGTTCGTTAGCTCTATTTAGGAGTGCATCCCAGAACCAAACCATATAGTTTACCAATGGATGGTTATCGCCTGCATTTAATTTCGCTAAAGAATAATTTCATTAAATCTCACTACAAAAGCAATAACGTAGCTGAGCATATAATCACCGGCTTCAGGCCAATTTTTTTATGTATTTCAGAAAAAATTCCATACTTAACTTATTTCTTTTCTGATCAGATCCCTGTTCAATCTACCAAACGACCAAGTTATAATAGGGCGCAACAGCCTGACGGGGTCAGTATTCGGCATTGGTATCATTAAGGTGTATTTAT